ACTGTTATCAATACATCATTCACCGAAAGTTTAATGCGCGTTAGCGTTTATTTCACACTAGCATTCCAGCAAATGACTATGTCTCAAATGCAGGTTATAGTTTTCTCGTATCTATTACCGACACACATGTATTTAGCTTTATATTCCTGGCCCATATATGTATATGTATATAGATCTACATCTACATGGATCATAACTTACGATCCATGGAGATTGATAAATACTGGTCAAAAACCACAGTTGATAAGATATGCGAACACGCAATCTCACTCTTATCATCTCGGTTTTACTCTGAACCATACATCTAAATACAATTGTTTCCACTCGGATCTTCCTCTCACAACCTCATACGAGACTTACTGCATCGGTCTAACCGCCGACACTGATTCCGCTACAACCTCCATCTTCGCTCAAGCTTATAACTTTAACAGTATGAAGGTTGAGATTTCTAAGTATGATCATCAAGATCAATTGAGTTGATTCGATTGAATATGATTAAGCTCATTTAGGCGAAATAAGGTTCAGTGGCTAGGAAATGCTATCTTGTTGATAATTGAGTGGCTGATTGTTGTTAGATCACTGGGAGTTCGGGATCACTTAAGCCTCGGGGATCTATATTTAAGGATAGACGCATCTGTGTATGTAAAATTAAGTTGACGGAACATTATATATTATTAATTCATATTGAGACGAGAGTTCGATATCATATATAACTATCAATAAAATCTTGTACGAAATTGTACACTTGTTCTTCGAGATATTTCCTCCTAGAAATCCTTGACAATTTCTAACACTTTTTGTGTAGGTTGGAACGATTCTGCGGGGATCATGTACTGGCGTCACGTCTCTTGGCAGTGTGTCTCAAGGATAATACTGCTTGCCTTCAAGCGATATCGAGTCAAATCAATACAGATGATCTCCGCTATCTTACATGGCACAGCTCTACTGGTTTCTGGTGTTCCGTGACTGATCCAATCGGCCTACATTGTTGGCGCTTACACGGCAGGGATGGGAGCTGGCGAAAAATTTGCCATAATGAGGACCAATGGCTCCTGTTGAGTTTGACTGCTGTGATACACCTATTATTACGGACGGTAGAAGTACTCCTGGTTTTCGACAATGGATGGAGCAATAGTACAACGTCCGAGTTGTTCTCCCACTAAAACTAGCCTATTATTTATTGTATATCCAATCAGGTGCATATGAAAATACGTTTGCATCTAGTGACACCCACTTTAAAACAACATGACAGGTCGAAGTCGTATTACATGTCTGGTGAAAGCATCATTAAATTTCTAGTAGATTTTGACTCCTGTCTCTATGTCCGTCGGTGTCGAGAGCTCAACACCTGTTAGTGGTGTCTCCTGCAAACCTCTAGCTTTATTTGAAAGCCTGTGAATATAACGCTTCTAGTGTCGTTGCTGTAGCAGACATATCTACACGTAAATCTTATTGTGTTTTCATTGACTATCTACTACGTCATTCTTGGACCTTTAATTGTCACAAACCATCTCTGGGATGTTGCGTTGCACCCAGTAAAACTAGTCATGACGTACAGACAATAACATAATTGAGGAATTGTAATGGTTACAGTGTTATGATAGCGACAGTTGCCATTCGAAGTACTAATTAGTCGCTGTGTTAAAGCTGAGGACTATTCCATCATAGGTTACAGTATTGATGCCCGTGTACTCAAGGAAACTCTAGGACTGGATTCTGATTGTAACATTTTGTTACAGGCTTAGGGCCTTGTAGGATTAGAATCGGACTTATCCGATTCCACATGTAACGATTGCTCACGTGACCATTGGATAGTCTGGCTTGAAGTGACTTACGTAAGACTTAGTAGATATTCAATTGTGTAGCTCGTGTAGTTCTTTCGTTATACAGAATATAAACCTTTGTTTTTGGATTCACCTATGCGGACTGCTATTGTGATCAGTCCTTTTACACATTTAGTTATGTAAATTACTAATATATTAGAATCTCATAATGAACCTGAATATCTCGTCAATTTCCTTGTCAGTCTCTGCCTTCGTCTCCGTCCTAGTCATTGTCCGTGACATTAATAAACTCATTGTGTTATCTAGTATATTTGTTAGAATTTCGAATAACTGGGGCTATCAAGTAGGCCACGTTGTCGATACACACGTGACCACAAATTGTGAATGTGAGGATCCTAAACGTAGCAAGCTACGTAATGTAACATAGACTACTAACTGCGGTTAGCCTACAATTAGTAAGCTACGCACCAAGTGTAGATTTTGGAGTTGGGAGTTAGAGGGAGATATAGAAAAATATATTAGAACGCAAGCTTAACTATTGCATCCTGCGGAACTAGCTGTTGTATAGCGACGAGTAATATTTGTCACCATCTTGTTTCAATTGTGATCGATAGAAACCCACGTATGTGTGTGTTTAATGTGCTACTTGAGTCTATGACTATCTAGCACATTACTAGTCTAAATGGAAACCAATTGAGTTTGAAGCTGTTGCTTCATACTAAAATAGGGGTAGAAAAAACAATTGAATTCATCAAGAAGACTAGGATATATATGAGAAGATGGCATCTTCAAAGACTTGAGGAGGATCAAGGGGCGAGGAGAATAGAGGTGGATTAGAGCAAAAATAAACAGGGCATGACCCTCAATTTCTATTGATAAACATTGAATATATCAACATACAACTTTCATATTAAAATCTAGATCTATTTATATAGTTTAAGCAGTCCTTCATAGTCACAGACTCCGTAGGGACTTAAATTAAATTCTATTCTATTCTATTCTAGCACGTTGGGCTCCTCTCTGACCCAGGCCACACCTTGTACATTGTTCCTTGCCTCTTTTGTTACTTGTAAGATCATTGATATATTCCCCATGATGAATAGCCATTCAGCTCAGCGTTTGCCCGTGGAATTCGGCCACCTTTTCATCGGAACCTTCTACCCAAAAAAAATGGTAGTAATGGAAACTGAGTGCGCGTGAAAAAGTCTCAAAAAACCTTCAGCCCCAGCCAGGCGAGGCCTAGACACCGGGACCACATGAGGTGCGCATATTCATCTATATCTCACTTCTTAGTAACAGTCGAGGTCGACTTGATCCAATCCAACATCTCGGTATCGGGTGCTGGGTACGCTCCGGAAACTCATCGGATGGCTTCTCCTCCATGATCAAGGTTTGGTGATGAGCAGGACTCCGACCCTACCATCTGATCCCATCGTGGTTAGCTTCATGATAATGGTGATAGGGGGGATGTGTTGAGAGATGAAGACGATACAGACCTCACAAGCGATTGAGAATCCTCGTCGAAGTGAGGACTTTGTTACTCAATCTCGGCTCTGCAGACTCTACAATGAGAGCTGGAGGTTCGAAAGGGACACCTCTGACAGGTGTTGAGAAAAGTCCACCTACGGCCGGTGCTATGTATACTTGTAGGATGACTCTTTTGACGTTCGAGACACTCATACTCTGGATTTCTTTTGCAAATACCACTATGAGGTATGTTCAAAGGGCAAGACTGGACACCTGTACGTGGTGTCCTAAACGAACCTGGGAGTGAAATATTCTCCAAGAGCCCTGTTCAGTCAAATTTCGCAATACCGAACAAGTTGGCCCACGAGGCAATGATTCAAATTAATCCACCACGCCATATTTTCACTCCCAACGAGTCCGAATCCCATACAAGTTTCATCAAGTTTCATCAAGTCTACAAGTACGACCTAGTACATCCTCATTCCAATGACCATACCACTTGTCGACTTTTTCTGGCCTCAGCCGGTCACCAAATACACGCCCACGCCTATATTTATACCCGACGGAGGACACAAAGCGTGGCACACAAATCTGGGTGAAATTTCTTTGGGGATGGCGAGAGAGGATTCAGGACTAGTTAACAAGATGATGCAGAGGATGGATACAGTCTCGACGGGCGTGAAATATTGAATTGTGGGAATAGTTTTGCGAATTGAGCTTTATGCGTACCAAGACTTCGGTTGCGATGGTGCAAGGGATACTATAAACACCGCCATGGTTGGATAGTGCGGTGGTACATCGTCTTGGCTGGTCTGCCAAGTAGAGTCTGGATAGCTTAGACACATATCCCACTCGAGACAGTATCTCGCTGGTTCAAATCCGGCAAAACACAACCAAATTTCTCGCGGCGATGGTATGCATGGATGACAAAGGCATGCTTGGATAAACAAAGATTTTGAAATTCCCTTTGACGGATACTTACGGAGGAAGGTGGACTGTTTGTATAAGCAAGCATACCTCATAGTGGTATTTGCTAATGAAATTTAGAGTATGAGTGTCTCTAACGTCAAATGAGTCATCCTACAAGTATACATAGCACCGGTCATATGTCTTAGCTCTATAACTCAATACACATTAAATGATTTAAATTAAAACGGGTAGCTGCAGTCATGTGTAAAATAAGCCTTTACTGAATTGTAGCTACAACCACTAGTAGACCTGACCCAATCATATCATCACAAGCTTCTAGACTATTACTTACAATTTTGCCACCACTTATTAGCGTCTGATCATGGATGTCTTCAACCTAAGACTCAGTGGCAATTCTGGGAAATCTTTATCGGATGAGTGCTAGGATTAAAGATGGTATCACAAAGCAAACTTTCTTATGATTGATAAGTGGCCTGAGGGGGGAGGAATTCTCCTTTTCTCCACTATCCGGGTTACACAAATAAACTGAATTTGTTTGCGTCGACACTAGCAGGAAGTAAGGAGTTCAGCTCTGTCACAACGTCAGAACCAGTCGTTGGAATAGGTATTCACTTTGATCACTCGGTGATCAGTATTCATTAGGAGCTGTTTCGACGATAAAGTGGTCAGTTCCATCGCTCGTTATTTCTATTTCAGATCATCAGCATCGTTCGCCCAATATTTTCACCAACTTCACTTTTCCTCTCAGTCACATTAAAAATTTATCTCTCATCATCTTCAATTAAGGATATCGTTACATTTAGCCAACCTACATTCAGAATGGACCGATTCAACGAACTATTTGAGTACACTGCACGAAATCTTCTCACTCCTATACTCGATGTATTCAGAGAGAAGGTCAACACTAATGATAAACAAAAGATCGGTAAATAATCCTTACAGCTTATAGCTTTTAAAAACTAATTATGAAGGGCTCCTGGACCTGTTTTACGATGTAAGTAAATACTGCAGGGAATTCCCAGAAAATGAGGCAATTACAACGCTTCACAATCAGCTTATTGAGATACTCCCAAAGATAAATTGTAACCGAGTTTCCATTACCGATTTTGACGCCCTCATCAACTCCGCCAAAGGCTTTGCTAGCGACCGTCAGATATGGATTGATGTCATCTCCATAGCCGACTCTATCTCTCTCAAAACCTCACCCACTTCAACAAACCCTAAAACTTCAGCCGGACCACAAAAGAGTTCGAACGTCAATTTGATGCGGAATGTCGCGGAGCCAGTTGGTTACGACAAAAAAACTGCCTCCCTAACAGAGGCCCTAAAAGTAGAGTTGACAGGGAACGTTTATAAATCTGTTGGCAAGTTCTGGGAAGTTCATTTTGAGAGCTTAGCCTGCTCATCCCTCACAACGAGGATCTGGGAGAGTTATCGGGACAATGGACAATGTGGCGGAGACAACGTTTTCTCTGATCAGATGGACGAAGCAGCCATGCGACGCTGGCTCTACGCTCTACATGACCGTTACCTCAGCCAATTTCTTGAAGATGCAGAGGAGCCAATCAGTGGTGGGCCAGTGGTCGCAAGGTGGCCTAACGATCCGAAGGTGCGAGGGAGGTTTTCTTACACCACAGTCCCGACGCAGCTCAAGGGAGGTCTGACGTCACGAAAGCTTGACTTTTTCATTGAAAATGTCGCATTACCTGAAAGCGACATTCATGAATGGGGAGAAGTCAGGGTTGTGGGTGAGTTTACTTGTTCTCCAGAACAGAAGGGTGAGAAGGCACACCAGTTGATGAGATACGTGCGCGAGATGTTCTACGCGCAGCCGCTGCGTCGTTTCGTGCACGGATTCTGCCTTCACAAGAATCACTTGGAGCTTTGGGTTGTCGATCGGTCGGGCGGGTACAGTTCAGGCGAAATAAAAATTATCGAGAGTCAAGAAAAACTGGTCCGAGCCCTCTCTTCGTACATGCTGATGAGCGACGAAGAGCTTGGGCTCGACACATTTGTTAGGTATGTAGGACAGCACGCCTACATTACCATCCCAGACGGCGATAACCCTGGGGAGCAAATTGAGGTCGTGCCAGAGCCTGTAGCCCGTCCCGTTACGATTTACTCGCGAGGAAACACTTGTTATCAGACAACCGATGGCGAACATCTGATCAAGTTTTCCTGGGGTAGCGGCACCAAACGAAGCGAGATCGATGCGTTGAGACTAGCCAAGGGAATCCATGGTGTCATCAATCTTGAGAGATCCGGCGATCTGTACAAGATTGAGACGCACCGCAAGGATATTGACTTCTCGAGCGGACAAAGATGGGATATGAGAGGTTGGGGACGTATTCTGACCACTGGATCAGAATCGGCATCGTTGGACCGCAATGATTATTACACAAAACGCGGGCTAACTGTCGCCAAACTCTCACCATTCGGACGACCCCTCCAGTCCTGCAGATCTGCTCGAGAATTCCTAGTGGGTATTCGAGATGCTATCCTCGCGCATCGACGGCTTCGTGACCAGGCGAGGCTTCTTCACGGTGACGTCTCGGAAGGCAACATAATTCTGAGTCGTCCCAACGAAGAGGGAGCCACGGAGGGAATACTGATTGATCTGGATATGTCATCGCTGATCGAGAGCAGTAGAAAAATGGATGAAGTGATTGCCATAACCGGAACCATGAAGTACATGGCGCTGGAGCTTCTGTGGAATATCAGTGAAAATAAATTCACGCTTCCGCAGAACTATTGGCATGATCTGGAATCGTTTTTCTACGTCTTGATCGTGGGATGCATGTGTTATGGTGGTGATTCCAAGAGTCAACCGGAACACTTGGAAAAATGGTTTACTGAGTCTGCAAGATCCAACTACGAGTCGAAGCAATCTGATATTATTCAACATTTTGATGCAAAGATAATTGGTTATTTCTCACCGGCCTTTGATGGTGTCAAGAAACTTGCCAAAAACTTGCGCAAAATATTGTTTGGACAGAATATCGACCAGTTTGGCATAGACGAAAGTTCCGACGACCTGTACAATCCGATCATAAGTGCATTCAATGAAACTATTGATGAAATTGTTGGTAAGAATACTCTCGAATTCCAGATATTTGTCCACGTTAATTATACATTCACTGACCAATATTATTTAATTTAGAAGAACCCTTGAAGAAAATAAAGGAGACGAAGACAAGGAAGACCTCGGCGGTTGATCTACCGGAGGGAAGGAAGCGACAAAGAGGATAGTGTAATTATACTGAGTACATGAAGTTGTGGGAAATGTAATATTATATAACTTGGAAATATAACAATAACGTGATCATGTTGCCAATAAACCATTCAAACAGACACGAAGACTTACTCTTGATGGGTGATAGTTCGGCAAAACACTATCTTGGTATTTTGTTTGAATCTACATATTGCATTAGAAATGAATCAATTTATCTTCATGCAGGTAATCCGATCATATTGAAATGTGACCCACTAATAGCTCGTTGGTGGTATTGGTCGAAAATCCGACCAAGAGAAAATTTGCGACCGCACTCATCAGCGAACGGAAATACTTAAAGCTCAAATAGGTACCGCAGATAAGATAAAACCTGCCGGAGGTTAGTGTTAAAACGACTGAAACCCTTCAATATCTCAAATGTATCTCAACCAATTCATTTTGGGGTTGAAAACCGGTATGGGTTTGAAGAGTGAGGCGGCTCAAAGAATATGGGCGCGATTTCTGAATAGAATAATAATGATATGCGTCGGGAGAATATGAGATATACAGTGCAGAAATAAAATAAGGATTGAATGAATTGAATTAATTAGATTAATTGTCTTGGTGATTCCTAGACAGTTTATCTATATGTATACTTGAAAGACCAGGGGGACTGTTCATGACACCTGTCAGTGGTCTCACCTAAGAACCTCCAGCTCTCGCTGTAGACTCTGTAGAGTCGAGACTGAGGAACAAAGACCTCACTTCGGCGAGGATTCCCAATGGCTTTTGCGGTCTGTATCGTCTTCATCTCTCATCACATTCCCTTCTCATTATTATCATGAAGCTAACCACGATCAGATCAGATAGTAGGCTCGGGGCTATTCTCATCACCCACCTTGGATTATGGACGAAAAGCCATCCGATGAGTTTCCGGAGCGTACATAGCACCCGATACCGAGATTGTAGATTGGATCAAGGCGGCCTCGAATACTACAACGAAGGGAGAGGTAGATGAATGTGCGCAACTCATATAGTCCCGATTTCTAGGGCCCGCCTGGCAAGTGCTTTAGGTTTTCTGAGCTTTTTCCTCGCACGCAGTTTCCATGGCTATCATTTTTGTCTTTTTTCGGTAGAAAGTTCCGTGGAAAAGGTTGCTGAAATCACGGGTAAACACTGAGATGAATGGCTATTCATCAAGGGCAATTTATCAATGATCTTTTGAATAACATGATAGGCATGGAGCACTGTATAATGTATGGCATGGGTCAGAGAGGAGGCCAATGTGCTAGATAGTCATAGACTCAAATAGTGCTATATATAAAAACAAACCAACAAAACGCACAATTCGAGAAATTCGAAAAATCGAAAATCTTCTCTTTCCATTTTCATCATTATTCCTATGCTTGACTTCTCGAATTGATGACCATCTAATGGCGTCCCAAAATGCCTCCGATGAAGAGCAAACGACCAAAGTCGACTATTTCTGTCGGCATTGAACGGACACACATGTGTCTAAAACCTCCTAGCCTCGCACAAAATTTATCAAGCCTTTTTGTGAGTGTGGCCTTTGTCCCTGGGAAGTCTTCCACCCTTCCCGATCAAGAGATGACTGATTCTGATCCGATCAGAATAGAAACAATAGGTCAACAGACCGCAAAACCCGCCGACCTGGCCCCCGAGGCAAGCAGCTCCATGAAAGGAAAGGAGGTTGTCAGAGAAAGGACGACCGAACGTGCAGAATCGTGTGCTGGAAAAAACGCTGTGCCAGCTTTAAAAGGTGCAGCATCGACATCAGCAATGGAGTTTTCTGGAGCTGCAAACCGTGATGGAGGCCGAAAAGCGTTGTACGACGCAAATTACGGCCCTCCTCGCCATCTGCTCGACTGCGATAAACAGTGTTGAAGCAGCACTTTCGCCTCTTTCGATCGGCATAAATAAAGAATTCGTAGACGGTATACAAGTCTACGTACGAGCAGCTACTGGCCAGCTCGTTTATTCCGGTCCAGGAAGCACACCACCAGTCCTTCCTGACCGCCCCGCCAACCCTCTCCCACCGAGGGCTCCAGAAATTAGGGCACCTAACCCTACGAAAACCTAGGCTCCGGCCCAAAAGACAACTTGGGCCACCGTAGCTCGGGCAAGCCTAGGCAGTAGCGCTGGGATATCGACAAAAAAGGCAGCAACTCCCGCCCAGAAAGCAAAAAGTGCCAACTTGAGTGGAAAAGTCGATTCACGACTTTTTCTGCGCCTTGAATATTTCCATCCCTACCGTCTCCTCTCTCCAGCTAGCGTAAGGCTAGCGGTGTCTCAGACGCTGGGAACTGCTGCCAACAATATCACCTTTGTTCAGCGGGTAAAGACCAGCTTTGCAATAATCGCGAAGGATGAACTCGCTCGAAAAGAGCTCCTAGATTCCTCCACATCATGGAGCGAATCGGGAATCAAACTGGAACCAGCATCAAATCTGGTTGCCATGCAAATTGCCACCGTCCCGGAGACAATTCGAACTTTTGCTGGCTCAATCGCCGTGACGGCAAAGATGGTTGCCGATGAAGTCACGCGAGTGACTAAATCGGTTCCCTCTCCATTTTTTCCTCATGGCTCCAGCAAACCTGGAGCCCCCTACATCAATTGGCAAGCGCTCTTTCCCCGAGAAGCCGCACCTCGATCCGGATTCCGCCTTTTCGACGACTCTGGAGCAGCTAAGCTCCTCCGACCCCGCCGACAAATACAACAATGCAACCGGTGTCATGGCTTTCACGCCACCAGCGGCTGTTCCCGCGCTCCAGCTTGCTAGAATTGCGGGTCTAATATGCACTCGGAATCAGAGTGCAAAGCCCTCTCACGTTGTCTAAACTGTGAGGGACCCCACCGATCAGATTCTAGGGACTACGTTGCCAGACCCAGCAAGTCAGGACCGGTGACTAAAGAGAAGCTGGCGAACATTCGCCAAGTCGAGCAAGATCACCATGCGGCATTCGCTCGATTCAAAGCTGCAGCCAAAATGGCCAAGGAGGAGATGACTGCCTCTGCGAAAGACGTCTCCATGGATGAGGGATCGGGTTTCGGTGTACTGGAATACGAAGAAGAATTCTGAGGGTACAGCAACCCTCGGTGAAGTATACGACAGCTTCAATTATAGAGCAGAATACCGGCTGAATTCAGGTTATCTGCGAACTCACCTTTCGCTCTCAGCGGAGATCAAGAAAAGTCACTTGGAAGATGTGACAGGAAAGGGAACGGGCAAGAAGCGCGGGATCCGGACCACATGGAAAAATATTCTAAATTTGATTTCAGTCTTTGGCTTTTAGCTTTGATTTTAGTTTTTGATTACAGTTTCTGAGTTATAATTTACCTGCTACTTTTTCTGTAGCGGGTCTCGCGGTTGGATTGAGTTGGGCCTGTAAGCAGTGATCCCCGCCCGCTCCACCAGTCTTGTAACGATAGTGGACCTAGAGCTTTAGCTTAGGACTTTAATATAATTAAATTTTTTTTTGAAATTCGAAATTTCGAATCTTCACCTTTTCCCCCTCTCTCTCCCTCTCGTGCTCGTCGCATTCCCTCATTAAATTGTCATCGAGTCGCTGGCATTTAAACCATGCCACCTGTTCGTAAAAAGCGTCCCAACGCCACGTTGGACAACACGAGAGTCTACCCGAGGGCTCTCGAGCAATTATGTTCGGATTAGGTCCTGGTCAACGATGTCTAGCCTAATTGTGCTATGTTGCAGGCTACTGTTCCAATTATTCATGGGGTCATCATCAGGGTTGTGAGTAGTTTCGGTATTGGTGTGGGTTTTTAGATTGATACGTAAGCGTGTCGCATAGTAGTCAGACATGCGACTCGAGTAGCATATGCACGGTAGACCTCAAACCCAAAATGATGATACGAATCAGGCTTTACATGCTACGTCCTGTATGGCTAGCGTGGTTGGAATATGGGGAATTTACCTGTAGATAGATAAAGACGTTGTAGCCCTCTGATAGTTGGGACAAGTCTTCTACATTATTATATCGGAATCAATACTAGCCTCTCATTAAGCAATCTCATGAATTATTTCCAATGTCTGTGATAACAGACATACATCTACAATATCGACAACAAGTTTTAAAGTCGATAAGTTATGAGCCCGGAAACTGTCGACAACAAGTTTAATGTCGATAAAATTACCTGGCCTTGCCCAGTCTCAGAAATGCGCGGAGATGAGCAAGGTCTCAATTAAAGGGAAGGGAAAAGCCCTTCCCGCCGTCACTGAACCCGATAATGACATGATCGGGTCAGTTGAAACTATTGAGGAAATTCCTCAGCCACCCTCCGTCCCCCGCGGGATTGGAGAATCGTCAAAACCTCCCCCGACCACGCAAATACCCTCGGAGAACGTCGCAGCTAAAAGCTGCCACGAAAGCAGAGTGTCCTCTCGAGCTCCGACCAATAGTCGAAGCTGAACAACGACGCGCCGCCGAAATAACGGCAAATCTAGCCCTCTGTTCCGCCGCCATCTCTGGCATCGAAGCAATCCTCCTCCCTTTGACCAACGGGTCAAGTAGACAATTCGTAGACTCGATGAGAGTCTACCTACGCGCCGCCATAGCGCAATACATGGCCACGGGTGTGGCTATTACGCTACCCGTCCTCCCTCCTCGCCCTGCGAACCCGACCCCAAGGGCTCCAGAAGCCAGGAGCACACCCATTCCCGCCGTCCCAGCTCTGCCTGTGAAGAGCACCTGGGCCACGGTGGCCAGAAACGGAATGCGACAAAAAGCAGTCCCTACTGCGAAGGCTATGCCGCGACCTGCGGCCAAAGCCCTAAATAAAGAAGCTCCCAAGGCCAAATGCGATAAGCGACTGTTCATTCGCCTTGAAAAGGACCACCCGTGGCGAAAATTGTCCACAAGCAGCGTGAGAACTAAGTTGGAGTATACATTTGGATACTTTAACCAAGAAATAACCTCACTCCATTTAGTGAGAACGGGCTTTGCTGTGCTAGCAAAGAACGAAAAAACACGACAAGAGACTTTAGATGGCTCTTCGAAGC